CCGCGGCCGCCGGCCACGCGCGGCGCGCCCCCCTCAGCCGTGGCGCCCGGCAGGCCGCCCGCCAGGGGCACCGCGGGCGGCGGCGGCATCGGGAGCGCGCTCGGCCATAGGGGCATAAAGCGAGAGGGCGCCGCCGCCGGGGGCGCCGAAGGGACGTCCCCAGGCTGCGCGTCCGCGGCCTCAGACGGCCCGGCGCCCGGCTCTTCCAGGTCTCTGCCTGCTGCCGGCTGCTCGACCTGCACCGTCTCGCGCTCCGGGCCCGCGCCACTGTCAACAATCCCGCCGCCGTCCCCGCCGCCGTCCCCGCCACCGTCGCTGCCGTCGTTGCCGCCGCCGCCGCCGCCGCCGCCGCCGCCGCCGCCATCGTCTGCGCCCGCCTGCGTCTGGGGTCCAGCGCGCTGTGGCGCCGGGCCCTCGCCGCGCCGCGCGGCCCGCGTGGCCGGCGCGCGCGCTACCGCCTCAGCGGCCGCGGCCCCCAAGATGACGTCACCCTCCAGCTCAGCTGCCGCGGCCGCCACGCCCTCCGCAGCCGCGTCCCGCGCCCCGGGCCCTTCCTCTGCCTCCGCACGAGGCGCCGCCGCCGCGCCCCCGCCGCGGGCTGGCGGCCCGCTGCCGGGCGCCCCAGGGACGACCCACAGCTCCCTCGCCCGCATTCCCGACGGCGGCGGCGGCGGCCATATCCCGCCGTGCTGCTTCGCCTGGCCCGCCGCCGCCGCTGCCTGCGCCGCCATCCTCTCGCGCCGCAGCTCGCTCGCGCCCAGCACGCGCCCGCCGTCCGCCCCCGTTGCCACGTCCGCGTCGCCGGCGGCGGCGGCGGCTGCGGCCGCGGCGGCGACGGCGCGCTGCTCATAATCGAAGGCATTCAGCAGGAACGACGGGATCTCGACTGCCCATGGGGCCTCGCCCTCGGGCAGCTGCCCGATCTGCGCTCGCCGGTCGGGCGCCGCGCGGTTGCGGCGTGGGGTTGCTGAGCTGGCGGGTCGCCCGGGTGACGGGTGACGACCGAGTCACCTGGGTCCGAAGGGACCCCTAGTCCCCGGCAGAGCAAAGCCTGCTCATAGCCTGGCCGGACACAAGTCCACCTGCACAACAGTGCTCCCACCATTCCCAACCCCATCCCCCTTGAAGCTTGGCGACGCTATAACCACCCTATCCCATCCCATCCCTTCCATACCAGCCTGCCCAGCCCTATCTCATCCTGTGCGCGTCCACACGCGTGTGCGCCCACGCCCCCAGCCGCATCCCCTGCCGCACCTCCTTCCGCGCGAGCAGCTCCTCCGCCGCTGCCGCCGGGTCGCCGCCGTCGCCCGCCGCGTCCCGCAGCTTGAGCAGCAGAAGGAACAAAAAGTCCGCGACCGCGGCGTTGGGGCCGCCGTCGGCGCTGAACAGGCGGCTCATCTCTGAGCAGATAGCGCCGTCATCCTTCAGGTCCTGTGGGAGGCGATGACGCGATGACGTAATGTTACTGGGGCAGCGGGGCGCGGTGCTCATCGCGTCAATCAAGGAGGTTTGAACAGATGTTAGCGGTGTTGGTGGGTGGTAGGGTGGAGGTGCAGCTGCACACGCAGGGGGGCATGGCGGGGGGCCGGGGGTTGCCCATAGCAAGGTTCGCAGCAAAGCGGTTGGCCCCCAAATGCAGGACAGACGCCCGGCGCAGACAGTCACCTCAACGTACAGCCGCATGCCATCCAGCAGCGCTGGCACGGGCGCCAGCACCGACTGCGGCGCGCCGCGCCCGCCGCCGCCCTCCTCGCCGCCGCCGTCGCTGCTCGGGCCGCCCGGCGCCACCCCCAGCATCGGCCGCGGCGGCGTCACTGTGTAGCGCACCCGTAGGTCCCGCACCACAAAGCACTGGAAGCTGCGCAGCAGCTGCGGCAGCCCGGGCCGCGCCTAGGTGGGCGGTCGCCGCCGAGCGAGGAAAGGTCAGCGGGGTCTGGGTGGGGACACCGCCAGCGGGTCCGTGAAGAGGGCAGACCCAACACCACGGGCCTCTGCAATTGCAGATCTTCATGCAGCAATGCAGCATGTGGAAAATGCGCGGCAGGTGCCAACCTTGATGTGGTCCACCCGCCCGCTGCCACCCGGAGGCCGCCTGCCACGCCACCGGCAATGCACGCGGACACCGATTGGGACACTCCCCTACTGCCACCACGGTGTGGGAGGCCGAGCGGTCTCCAGGAAGCTGGAGCCTGAAACTTGAACCCTGAACCCTGACAGCGCACAAAGGCACACTCACCGCCATCAGCCGCGCGTAGTCATCCGGATGCTCTGACACCAGCAGCCTCTGAACGCACGGCACGGCCTGCGTGCGTCCGCCGGAAGAGGGGGGCGTGTAGCGAGGTCCGCGGCAGGGGCCGTGGGCGCTCAGATAACCTTAATCAGTGGCCCAACCCTGCCGAGCCCCCTGCCTCGCAGCTTGCTGCCCGTTCTGCCAGCTGTTGCCGGGCAGAACCCCCGCACATTTGCTGCATCGCTTCTGATGCATGCCTGCAGGGGAGCCCCGCGCTCGGCTGCCGCCCATGCCGGGGCGGAGGCCGGCCGCCCTCACCGTCAGCGCGGCGCGGTTGAGGGCGGTGCCCGGGTACAGCTGCCCCGTGACGGCCTCCCGCGCCACCACCGACGACAGCAGGGGGATGCGCACGCCGTCGACCAGGAACGGCAGCAGGTCTACTGGCAGGTGCCTTTGGAGCCGACCAAGGGAGGTGAGGGGCGACAACAGTTGGAATTCAATGCTTGAGCCGAGCGCGGCCGCCACAAGGGCATTGCATGGCGCTGTCTTATTACAGGCGCCGGGACCAACGGTGACGAGGCGTCCCTCAGCCGCCGACACGCAAGCGAGCTCAAGCCGGGTCCCCTCAAAGCGGCCAGGCTCGCGCTCGCCTGGCGCGCCGCCCCGCGGGCTTGCCGAGCGGCGGCGGGACCCGCAGGAAGTGGATGCCCTCGATCCCTGTCAGCAGCTTGGAGAGCGCCTCGTCATCGTCCACGACCAGGCCGCCCTCCGCCAGCGACACCCAGGCGCCTGCGGGGACGCGGTGACGAAGAGATGACGTCAGGGGGCGGATGATGTACGCAACCGGCGGGCCCATGGGGCGGCACGGGCCGGCCAAATGAAAGCCCCCTGACCAAGCTGAGATGGTTGAATCGCCCTTTGGTGTGTGTGTGCGTGCGCCGCTAGTTGGTGGGTGGATACGCACCGCTGGTGGTGGGGAAGACCTTGAGTTGGGCGATGCGGTCTCGCAGGAACTGCTGGCTCGCCTGGGACAGGCCCCCTATCCCTGCAGGTGGGGGGGGGCACGGTCGGTTGACGGGGGTCGGTGCGCGGCATTGGAGGAGAAGCTGAACGTGTGGCAGCGCTAGATCTTGGTGCAGGGTTTGTGTTTGGCAAACGTAGAAGCCGCGGAACAAAGAGCCGCGTCCCCTGCTGCATGTGCGGGCCTGCAGGGTCGCCCTTGGCACGCAGGCTGCACCAGGCGACGCGCCCGGGCAGCAGAGCGGCGGGGCGGGTGTCGACCAAGGCCGCGGGCTGGGCGATTGCCCCCAGCGCGCACCGCCTGTGTCCTTGAACCTGGCAATGGCAGCGCTCCAGACGCTCCAGACGGTCGCGACCTGCCCGCAGCAGACGGCAGCCGGAGGGGCAGTAAGATCATGAACACGATGCTTTTGCACTAAGCACTTTCCAGCGACGTGCCCTCATCCCCAGGAAGGGCTTGCTGCTGCGATCTGAGCCGGCGAGCTGGGGGCGCTGCACACGCCCTCAATTGTACGCGCTGCAGCCAAGTCAATTCGTCTCTCCTCCTGTTCAATCCAGCTCCAACTTGCTGCAGCCATGCGTGCTCGCCCCTGGGATGCCCCTCCCGGCGCCCCACACATCCCCCGCACCTGCCGGAACGCCTCGCTGTCTGCAGTGACCTCCGGCGTACCCGCCGCCACAGCCTCCAGCGCGCGCAGGCAGTCGGGGATCGTCTCGTTCACCAGCACAAGCGGCACCGCACGCCGCTGCTCCCCCTGCTGCTGCCACGCGCCGCCCTCCGCCGCCGCGCCGCCGCCGCCGCCGCCGCGGGGCCGCTGCAGCGCGCGCGTGAACAGGGCCTGCACCGGCGCGCAGGCGGCGCCGTAGGCGTGCGCCAGCACGCGCGTGTGGATCGTTTCTTGGGGGAGGGCCTCGAGCAGGCCGGTCGCGTCGAACCACCGCACGAGCCCGGGCTCGTAGAACCTGCCCGGAAGCTGCTTGCCCGCGTGCTTCGGCCCCTCCGGCCGCTGCCGCCCCGCGCCGCCGTCGGGCCAAAAGCCATAGTCAGACTGGACGGCATATGGGTCCCCCAGCATGCCCCAACCACCGCCGCCGCCCTGCGGCGCCGCGGCCGCCGGACGCCCGGCCGAAGCCCAGGTCGCGGCGTCCGGCCGCGGGAGCGCGGCGCGGTCTGGCACCCATATCAGCGGCCGTTCCAAAAATGCGGCGCTGGCGGACGGTATCGAACTGGGGTTGTGCTCAAGCAGGTCTAGCATGTGCGCGTAGAGGGCCGTCATCTGGGCGACAGACGTGGTGAAGGAGCCGCCGGCCGCCTGGTCGCTCCAGGCCTGCAGCACCTGGGGTTGAACGGAATTTGTGGGGTCAAGAGGGCAGATCTGGAAGCGGAGGGGCCGCAGGTATGCCGGCGACATGCTGCGCGAACGCAGCTTTGGGCGTCGGGGCGGGGATCAGGGGGCAGCTGGTGCCTGCTGCCGCGGGCTGGCTGCATGACGGAGGCGGCCGCGCTGAACCTCCCTGCAATGGGACGCCAGGCGTCACGTATGACCCTTCACAACGGGGCGATTGCAGTCCCTACCCCACCCAACCCGGCCCCAACCCCCAACACAAAACAGCACCCTCACCTCCAGGAGCGTGTCAAGCCCGGTGTCCGCCCGCAGGCCCAGCGCCCGCACCATGGCCCCAGGCAGCCCCGGCTGCTGCTGCAGCGACGGGAGCAGATACGGCACGCCGGAGGCGCCAAACAGCCTGTGGGCCTCGCTGCCATTCAGGAAGAGCCGCCCCGGCGCAAGCCCGCTGCCGCCGGCCCAAGGCGACGGCAGCCACGGCGTGCGCTGCAGCAGCAGCAGCAGCGAGCTCGGCAGGTGAACTGCAGCGCTGCTCCCGGGCCGCCTTGCAGAGGGGGCCGCCGCTGCCGCGCCAGCGTCGACGCGGCGCGCGGCCAAGGCCGCGGCCGCCTCCAGCTGCTTCCAGAGGGACCCCACCAGCGCCGCCGCCGCCGACAGCTGCGCCAGCGCCGCCGGCGGCAGCCGCCGGCCCCCGCCCAGCGGCGCCCGCAGGCCCCCCTGCCGCTCTGCGCCGCCGCGCCTGCCGCCGCCTTTGCCTCGTGCGGCGGGGACGGCGGCTAATTCGCTGCTGCTCGCCGCTGCCGCGCCACTGCTGTCGTCGTCGTCCGGCTGTCCCTGCTTCAAGATGGAACCAATAAGAACCTCGATATCCGGCCAAACGGCATCCTCAAACGTGATCTCGTCATTGCCGCCGCCCGCGGCGGCGCCAACTGACGGGCACGCCGCCTTCCACGCCGACAGCAGCGCCTGCTGCCACGTCAACCGCGCGCGCCGCAGCGCGACCGGCGGCGCCTCGCACGCGCCGAGCGCGAGCAGCAGGCCGCGCCACGCGGCGGGCGACATGCCGGGGGCCGCGGATGCGTAAGCAGGGTCGACCATGCGCCAGGAAACAGATGGGAAGAGGCCGGCGAGATCGATCTTTGCTTCAAGGGCCAACGGAAGGTAGACGGTCGGCACTCCGCCGGCGCCATCGCTTGCGGCCGCCTCGGCTGTCGCGACCGCAGCCGCGGCGGCGCCCTCAACCGCGCCCCTGCCCGGCGGCGGCGGCGCGGCCGCGGCGGCGCGGCGCACGCGGGCGAGCGACTCCGACAGGCGCGCGGCGCCGCCGCCCGCCAGGGACACCACCGCGACGGCGCGCAACCGCTGCAGCGTGCTCTGCGCGCCGCCGCCGCCAAACGCACCGCTTCCTCCCGCATGCGCAGACCAGATGTCGACCTCTTGGCCCGTGCCCCCGGCCGCTTCTGCGCCGCCGCCGCCCGCCCCCTCGCCCCGCGCGTCGACCACGGCCAGCGCGGGCCCCGCCGGGGCCGCCAGCTCAGCGTCGGTTATGAGGCCGGCCACGACCGGGAACGCGAGGAGGCCGGCCAGGGTGGCGGGCGGCAGCCGCGGCGCGTCGGCGGATGCGAGCGCCGGCAGCACCGACAGGGAGAAGACGTCAGACGGCTCCAGCTCGCGGATGCCGAGGGCCTGGGGTGGGCCAGGGTTTGGGGTTTGGTGGTTTTGGTTCAGGGGTAAGGGTGTTAGGCAAGCGGTGGACGCGAGAATTGGGAGGAGGATGGATAAGGCAGGGGCCCCCGCGCCGGGCGCTGCCAGGCTGAGTGGGGTGAAGGAAGCAGGCGGGGCAGAGTGGATACAAGGCCCCTCACAAGTGAGGGTGGTCCTCACAGGTGGTGCCTAAACAGGCGGGCGTTGCTGCAGGCTATGGTGGGGATGATCGGGTCTCATGCACACGCCCTAGGGGCGAGCTTCAGGGTTCACAGGTGGGGTTCAGGGTTCAGCGTCACCTGCAGGCCGCGCAGCAGCAGCGCCTTGTCAACGTCGTCCTCCGCCCCGCCCATGAAATCGCCGTGCAGCAGCCGCAGTAACAGAGTCGCGACGCCGCCGTCGCCGCCGCCGCCCTCGCCGCCGCCCCTGCCGTCTGCGCCGCCCACCGAGCCGCCCGGCGACAACAGGAACGCCTCCCCCAGGCCGCTCGCCGCCAATGCCTCCCGCGTCGCGGCCGCCGCACTGCCGCCGCCGCCGCCGCCACTGTGCAGGCCCCGGGCTGCGAGGGCCGCCTGCGTATTTTCGGCGGCGGCTGCCGCGAAGCTGCGGACATCCAGGGGCAAGAAGACCCTCGCCTGCCGCGCCTGCGGCCGCGGCGCCCCGTGCGCCCCTGTGCCGGCCGGCTCCCCGGCGGCGCTCGCCCACCCGCCGCCGGCCAGCGGCAGCAGCGGCAGCTCCCTTAGCTCCCGCAGCAGCTGCTGCCTTGACACCGCCGCCGCCGCCGATGCTGCGCCCCCAGCCGCTGCTCCGTCGCCAAAGCCCCTGCTCAGATCTCCAGAGTTTGGCGCGTCTGCAGGCTGCGGCGAGAAAATGAGGTCCAAGACAACCAGCAGGAGCTCGCGCGCAAAGTTGAGGCCGAGGTTGTGCAGCCGCCCGGAAGCTGCCAGGCTGCGAGCCAGGTGGAGCACCTGTGACAGCGATGCGTGCGGCGGCGGGCGGCGGCGGGGACAGCGGTAAGGCCGGCAGGTGTGGTGCAGTCGGTGGAATCAACGGCAACCCACTGCAGGGACTGCAGAACTTTTGTACGCGGTCAAACAAGGGCACCGGCGCGTCTGCTCACTGCAGGCACCACGGGGTGCCCGCGCCATGTGGCCAGATCCGGCCCAACTTGCTGGTTGGACCCAACCCTCTCCACCAAGCATGCTTGATGTCACACCCTCTTCGACGAGCCACAACCCGTGCCTGCGGCCCCCTTCCCTACCGCGCTCAAATCAACCCACCAGGTCAACTTCTGTTCCCCCAGCGTCAAGCCCCTCTCGAGCCCTCATCCCGCCCC